TTTATCTCAGACAGGCAAGCATGAGCCTTATCCCCGCTCTCCATCTCTAGTTTGTTTGGGTCTGACAAAAAGTGATTTTGTCCTGGTGTCTGTAACTTTCACAAAGATAATAAGAAAGTTAATAAATATGGAAATGGAAGGTACTTATGGACAGAACTTATAAAATGAGTTCTGAAGAGATTTGCCCTTACTAGTCCAGATACTATTAGGGGTAAGAGGAAAAACAAAACTTTGTTTTTCCTCCGCTCTCACACCACCACAACCAACACTGCAGACTTCTGTGACCAAATAAATGTGTAGGCCAATCAGTTCTGCATCGAACAATAGCTGAGCATCTTCCAGTTCGATTCTCACATTATCTACCTGGGGATAGTGTCAGATCCCATTAAGACTGGTCCCACTTCTGATGCCAGTCACAAGTCCTAGATCGTTTTACCCTGGCTTCTGACTAACTGGCTATAAATTGGGAATCCACAACTCCCTCCTCTGGTTTGGTTAATTTGGTAGAGCAGCTCACAGAACTCAAGAAAACACTTACTTAGGTTTATTACTGATTTATTATCAAGAATATTACAAATGATACAAGAGGAAGAGATGCACAGATTGAGGTATGGGAAGGGACATGCCACCCACCAAGAACCTCCATGTGTTCAGATATCAAGAAGCTCTCCCTACCCCATCTTCTTGGGCTTTTTTTTTTTTTTTTTTTAATTGAGACAGAGTCTTGCTCTGTCACCCAGGCTGGAGTGCAGTGGTGCGATCTTGGCTCACTACAACCTCCACCTCCTGGGTTCAAGTGATTCTCCTGCTTTAGCCTCTGTAGCAGCTGGTACTACAGGCGTGCACTGCCATGCCCAGCTAATTTTTTGTGTTTTTAGTAGAGAGGGGTTTCACCACGTTGGCCAGGCTGGTCTTGAACTCCTGACCTCAAGTGATTTGCCTACCGCAGCCTCCCAAAGTGCTGGGATTACAGGCATGAGCCACTGCACCTGGCCAAAATTATTTTTATTTCTTAAAATATTTGTTTTTGAGATGGAGCCTCACTCTGTTGCCCAGCCTGAAGCGCAGTGCCATGATCTCCACCCACTGCAACCTTCACCTTCCCGGGTTCAAGCGATTCTTCTGGCTCAGCTTCACGACTATAGATATGTGCCACCATGACTGAGTAATTTTTTTTTGTCTGTTTGTTTGTATTTTAGTAGATACAGGGTTTTGCCATTTTGGCCGGGCTGGTCTCGAACTCCTGACCTCAAGAGATCCACCTGACTGGGCGTCTCAAAGTGCTGGTATTACAGATGTGAGCCATCATACCCGACCTCTTTTAACAATTTTTTAGTAGAGACTGGGTCTCACTATATTGCTCAGGCTGGTCTCGAACTCCTGGTCCCAAGCCATCCTCCCATCTTGGCCTGCCAAAGTATTGGGCTTATAAGTGTGAGCCCCCTCTTCTGGCTCAGATAATTTCTTTCTTTTTTTTTTTTTTTTTTTTTTTTTTTTTTTTTTTTGATCACCCCCCCCCAACCCCTCGCTCACAGAATTTCTTTACAGCCAGCTTCAAGACAGAAAAGCAGGGGAAAATTAGAGTCCTGCCTTGGGGAGAAAAAGGAGCAGATGAAAGGAGAGGGGCAGGAGAATGTCAGAGAGAGATTCTGTTTTTTTGAGGACTGCTTTTGAGGCCTAAAGCACCCCAACAGTATAACAAAAGAGAGTTATGGGAGTTATGAGCCAGGAACCATGGATGAAAACCAATATACAATATCACAAGGAGGTCACATAAAATGAGTTTCCCATCAGAAAAGTAGCGGTGTTTAAAGTTGAATAGAAATTGTATTAAGCTCTCTTCCGCATTTAATGACACCTTAATATAAGTTTAAGCCATGCATTAATATTTCTGTAACTATAAAGCTAACATATTCATTGTAGAAAAATTGGAGAGAAGTTTCAAAAAAGAAACTAAAAGCACACAGACTATCTACTATTGAGAGATAACCGCTAATAACATTATGATGTATTTTCTTTCAGACTTCATTTTTAAAGTTAAAGGGAAAAATCCCTATATATATTCTTATAGTGAATTCTGAGATTTAGAACCTTGTGATTTGAGACGGTGCCTTAGCACTTTCTAGTTCTTACAATTGCGTTTTTACTTAACAGCATTTAATAATTATCCTTACACTGAACAGCCAGCAGTTGGAAGTTACTTGCTTTGTTAAAATTTAACAAGAATATATTAGGTTGGGGAAGCCAAAGTGGGATTTAATTTGCTCACTTAAGACTTTGCTCCCGTTGGTGAGCCAACTTGGTAAGTTTTTTGAGTAATAGGGCTAATCTACCTTAATATTTGCATGATCATTGCTATGTTTTTTTCTTAGAGTTTTGTGTAGATTTGGATGGCCTCCCCTCCTTTATTTATTTATTTTTTTTGAGATGGAGTCTTGCTCTGTCACTGAGGCTGGAGTGCAGTGGCGCAATCTCGGCTCACTGCAGCCTCGTCCCAGGGTTCAAGTGATTCCCCTGCCACAGCCTCCCGAGTAGCTGGGACTACAAGCGGGCACTGCCAGGCGCGGCTGATTTTTTGTATTTTTAGTAGAGACAGGGTTTCACCATGTTGGTCAGGATGGTCTTGATCTCCTGAGCTCGTAATCCTTCTGCCTCCACCTCCCAAGGTACTGGGATTACAGCTGTGAGCCACTGCGCCCGGCCTGGAGCCCTTATTTTAGGTTCTGGTGCAAAAGGGGAGAAATTTAGCGCCTGTCAATACCCTTC